CTCCCTTTGCCCCCAGAGCTGGCACTTGCCAGGCAGCGTTGCCCTCGGACCCTGTGGCCAGCCCTGCTGGCTGCTGCCTCTGCCATATGTGCGCTGGTCTTTATTGTCCCCTTCTACTGCCTTCCTCCTGTCCTTTCTGTTGGGAGACGGTGGCAGACTGTGCTGTCACCTCAGCACCTGTGTCCCCCGCTGTGTCCTTGGCAAGGTGCCTTTCCTTTCCCCACCCGCTGCCCGGCAAGGTCCTTACCCTTCCCTGCCTCCCGTCCTGCCTCAGCCTCCTAAGCAGGCTGGGGAAGGCAGGCTGAGGCGGGGATGGGTTTGCTGGCTGGAAACGCCTCGGGGGGGCAGCAGGCCTGAAGACAATGCTGGCACCAGGACAGCTGGGGATGGAGGGCTTGGGAACAGACGGGGACTGGAGACTGGGAGGTTTCTAACCGCCGAGCAGCGGGAACGGCACGATGGGAAAGGACTGGCCCGCTTTGATCATCGGCTGGTTGGCATGGTGTGGCGTGGTGGCTGGGGGAGAGCGTCCCCTCACCTGCCACTGGTGTGGCATCTTTAGGGGCACAGCTGAGCTGCCATCGGGTCCTGGGTCTCACCAGGCTCCCGTGGGGGAGGAGGAGTTTGTGCCACCTCCGGGCTCTGTTGCAGCTCCTGGCGAAGCAGCGAGCACTGCCGAGGCCGTGGGGTGGGAGCAGGCTGAGTGTTTTGCCTGCTGGGAGCAAGGATGCTTAAGATCTTCGCCCTGCCAGGAGGAGCACCCGGGAGGGGGCAAGCAGGCCGACAGCTGTGACTCAGGGTCTTGTTACGTGGCAGCAAAACCCCGCTGGGGCTGTTCCGGGCATCCCTGGGTGGCCGGACACCCTCGGCAACCTCCCGATGCGTTCGGGGAAACCCAGGGAAACCAGGCAGACCAGCCATGTGCTGCGGCTGGGGCCGCACCAGAGCTGGGCTCCTCCCCGGAGCCAGGCAACCCACTGGCCGACTCTTGTCCCACGGGGCTCTCGGGGCTCAACTTTCAGCTTTGTCCTCGTCCCCAGGTGCTGTGACAAGAGATTGTGGACAAAGATAGATTTGAGCAGGTGCAAGTCCATCACCCCCCAGGCGCTGAGTGGCATCATCAAAAGACAGCCGGTCAGCCTCGACCTCAGCTGGACCAATATCTCCAAAAAACAGCTTACGTGGCTCGTCAACAGGCTGCCAGGTGAGCGTGGGCTTGGGAGGGGTCCCCGCCTCTGCCACCAGCCTGCTCCGAGGCTTCCTGACGGCTGGACCACAGCGAGAGACAGGCTCTGCAGCCTGGTACCTGCCAGCAGGAAAACTCCTAGGTGCCTGGATCCCGTCACCCAGCAAGCAGCCGATAGCGATGTGGTTTCCTGCTGCTGTGTGTTAACCTCTCCTTCAGAGAGCCCGGCTCCCTGTCCCACCCCAGGCAGGGAGGGGAGCTGCTTCCTCCTGTGCCTGGAGGAAAAGGGTTGAGATGAGGGACGCCTCGGAGCTGACCAAGCCTGTCTGACTTGTTACCTCTCTCCCTTCTCCCGGCAGGCCTGAAAGACCTCATCTTAGCGGGCTGTTCCTGGTCTGCGGTCTGTGCTCTCAGTACCTCCAGCTGCCCCCTTCTCAGGACCCTCGATCTTCGGTGGGCAGTAGGAATCAAGGACCCTCAGATCCGGGACTTACTCACGCCTCCGACAGACAAACCCAGTAAGCTGTTGCCCAGGCTGCCACGGGGCGAGGCTGGGGTGGTGGGGAGTTGGAGGAGGGTGACGGTGCTGGGTGCAGAGCGGGGAGGCAGTGCCAGAATCCAGAATGCCCCAACCCAGCAGGGCGGATAGTCCGCGCTCAGCTTCTCCTCTCCCTTTGCAGGTCAGGACAATCGCAGCAAACTCCGCAACATGATCGATTTCCGGCTCGCCGGCCTGGACATCACCGACGCCACGCTGCGGCTGATCATCCGCCATATGCCCCTGCTCTCCCGCCTCGACCTCAGCCACTGCAACCACCTTACGGACCAGTCAGCCAACCTCCTCACGGCCGTGGGCTCTTCCACACGCAACTCCCTCACCGAGCTCAACATGGCAGGTGGGTACGCCGCTCTGGGTGGCCCGGGCTGGCCTCCCCGGGCCCTGCTGGACCGAGGGTGGCCTGGCTGGACTTGCCGTCGAAAAGCGGCTTCCTCCTCCCCGCCTGCCCTCCCAGCCTGACATGGGAGCTCAGCTCTGGCTTCGCGGAGGCGTTGCAGCTCACTCTTCCTCTCCATCTCCCCCCAGGCTGCAATAAGCTGACGGACCAGGCCTTGCTGTACCTGCGCCGCATCTCCAACGTCACTCTAATCGACCTGCGAGGTTGCAAACAGATCACCCGCAAAGCCTGTGAGCACTTCATCTCGGACCTGTCCATCAACAGCCTCTACTGCCTGTCCGATGAGAAGCTGATCCAAAAAATCAGCTAGAGACCCTCCCCGGGGCAGACTGAGGAGAAGGAAAAGAGCCCATCCCACCCCTCTCGGAGAGCCGCTCCTCCACATCCCCACCTTGCCATCTGTGTCCTGCCGCTGCCTCCCACCTGACTCGGCAGGCAGGGCCGCTGCTGGCCTCGCTCCACCGTCCTTCCTCCTCCTCCCCCGGGACTTCTGCCGATGAAGATGTCCCGCCAGGCTGGCCAGTACCAGAGGAGGAACGGGCAAATGGCAGGGAGCCTCAGCCCAGAGGCTGGCTGCTCCCAAGGCGGAGGTTGTAATAAGAGATCTCTGTGCAGAGAAATGGGGCACCCTCTTCCCCCAGCTTTTCCCCTCCTCCCCGTCATCTCCTTGCCTTGAAACACTTGTCACTTCCCCCGTTAGCACAAAGCTTGAGGGTCAAGGTCTCTCCAAGGAAGCGGGAGCAGAGCTGGAACAAAACGTACCCCCTCCGGGCCACCACCAGCTCGTTGCTTGCCCTGCGCTCTCAGCCCCCTTAACGATTTCCCTTGTCCGGCTGCAGGGGCTGTG